TATCTTTGATTTGCCATTCTGTGGATTGCTTATTTAGATACTGCAACTTGAAGAGAACATTTCTTTCCTTTAGTTCATTATGTTCCTCTTACCCTCTCATATATATCACACTTTCTCCACATTCAAGCAAGGTTTCCTACACAGATATTTTTTCCCACTAAAATGAAAATCATAGTACATCCTCTTTCTTTACTTAACAAGACCTTTAATAATCTCTTCCATTACTCTTGTTTCTTATTTGTCTTGTATTTTAGGGAAGGGTCTACAGGGTATTAATGGTCTCACTATTTGATCGGACTTGTAGTGATTCTCCTGTTTACAGCCTCCCAAGTGCTGGGATTACAGGCCTGCACCACCAGTCTCATTCCACCCCTGTGCCTGCTTGCAGGCACTTTAATCCTCTGAGCTATTTGGCCAGCCCCCCATTACTCTTGTTTCTTTCCAGTGTTTCTTTTTACAGTACAAAGAATGCTGTGAAGACTGTTCCACACTGCAACCCTATGAAATTTCATTTTATGGAGTAGATTTAGAAGCAAGATTGCTTGGTCAGATAGTGTGTATAGATTTTATTATTAGAGTTATTGCTAAATGGCATTAAAATTTCTGTCAAGAATGTAGCAATTGCATTTCTAACCTAGACCCCCACCAGCACTAGCTTCTGTAAATTTATTTTTAGGTCTTGCTAGTTAAATAGGAGAGAATCAGTTTTCTATTATTCATTTGAGACCTACTTACCTGATCACTACAAAGTTGATTTTTTGCAGGCCTCTTTGATTTGCCATTCTGTGGATTGCTTATTTAGATACTGCAACTTGAAGACAAACATTTCTTTCCTTTAGTTCATTATATTCCTCTTACCCACTTTTTATGTAAGAATAAATGTTGAGTTTCCAAAAGAGTTGTAAAATAAATTTGAAATGATAAGAATGGTCCCTAAGGCAAAGACCCAGCACTGCTGGAATCGGTGGGGAAACTGCCCATGTCCCATTTATTCACTCAGCCACCCACTGGAAAATACTGACCTGGGGAACTGATACTCTTGTAGGGGATGGAAGCTTGGATAGCATAGAACCACGTGGAAATCAAGGTATGTTTTCTATTCATAACAAGCTACTTTGGGCTGAGGAAAGAGCTCAATGGTATAAGAACCTGCCTGGCAAGCATAAGGTCCTGAGTTCAATCCAAGGTACAAATAAGAAAAAATTGCATTATAGCTAGGTAGAAGACATAGAAATTTGCTAGAATATGATAAGATGAAGTTCCAAAAAATTTGTAAAGCAGAAAAAGGAAAAGTTATTTTTCCTCGAGGGGGTCAGAAAGTTTCAAAATAAGGTAAAAATTTATCTGAATTATAAAATCAAGGAATATTTTATTCACTTAGAGGTTTGGGGGAAGCAAAGTAAGGAAAAGAGATTATTATAGACCAAAAAAATAAAAGGAGCAAGAGTCCAGTGTTACAAATGTGTACACTGTCACAGAATGGAAAAGGAGAGTTTTTTTTTTTTTTGCAAGCTAACCAAGTTTTATTTTTATCAAATATCTTATAATTTCAATGTGAAAAACATTTGCATACACATTTGTTAAGATCTGTGATGGATCACAAAGTAACAAGAGGCAAATAACGTGAGCCAGGGCTCCACATAGAATTAACCACATGTACTCTTGACTCCCAGAGTTCACTTTCTGTGGGAAGGAATAAGCACAAATTTCTTAAAGATCATCCAAACATGGCCTGAACTCCTAGCAAGTGGATTTACGGCAGCTACCCGAGAAGCAAGGGCTTCACTGTACTGCCTAGCCTAGTTACCCGCCTCAGTGGCCACCATCCAGACTGCCCAGGCCCCCACTGCACTGATGTAATGAACATCCCAAAATTCCTACTCCAAAATAAAGGCTTTGCCTTAAAAGTATGCTTTTAACTTTATTTCTTTTTAATTAAAACATGGGGGCAGAGGGGAGGTCCAAGCTTAACAAAATAACATGTATTTTAACAAAATAACCAAAATGTAAAGTAGCTGAGCTATGTGTCCAAAAATAAAAGGCATTAAAGAATAAACCTTTAATATAAGGGGGGAAAGTCCCACACAACAGAGGATACAATATAAACATTTTGAAATTATAATTTAATTCTTAAGGATAAAGGCTGGAAAACCGCTCAGCTTCTACTAGATTAAGTGCACCTGTCTCCCCCAGCCAAGTTTAGTGGCACCCACCAAGCCTGCCGTCTCTCGGCATCACCACACACACACACACTTGTGTGCAGATCCTGATTGCTTGGGCTCGTCTAACGTGCAGCTCACAAAACTCTGGAGACAAGTTGAGCCAAGTGTACATGAACTCAAAAGCCACAATTCCAGGGTGCAAAACTTGCTCTGAAATTACTTATATGGCCCTCAGGTCACTTTTACTTCTCAGTTAAGATGCTGCACTGCCATCTGATCATCTACCCCAATTACATATGCCGATCTGAGGGGCTGGGGCTCAAACCAAGAGCTGTTCCTGAACGCCTGAATAGGGCGATTCCAAGCGAGTCTGCGCTCCACACCGGGAAGGCTCAGGCTAAGTAGAACCTACCGGGCTCCGAGGACCCAATCAGCATAAACAAGGGTGCGACGTTTTAACAGGAGCCAATTACTTAGTGTCATTCAGAGCCCAAGATCTCAAGTGACCAACATCAAATCTTTATTTTTATAACTGTATGACTGTGATCCAAAAATGTCCACCACTAGTTTTTTTTCCGAAGGAAACACACTATAAATAAGCAAACTACATCTGTTCACTGGTGAGTATGGACCTCCCCAGGTCTCATGGGCTTAGGTACAGACCACTCACAGTAATAGATGTTTAGCATAAAGTGCAGCACGAGGTTAAGCCAGTCTAGCTTCTGCACAACGGGGCACTTCTGGCTGATAATGGAGAGCAAGCTGCAGCGTTACACCTCAGCTAGGCCACATCCAGCCTTAAATAGCATCGATATCAATGTCGTCATCCTTGTTTTCCGACTTCACAGTTTCAGCCTTCCCCATGCTGGCAGTTTTTGAATGAACCACCTCAGAGTTTTCATCCTCCTCCTCCTCCTCATCTTCACCACCGGAAGAGTCTTCCTCTGCCTCCTTCAGCCATTTTATAAATGGCTCCGCTTTGACACGAATCTCTTTGGCAAGTTCTTTCGAAACGGACTTCTTAGAGGCCTTTTCTGACCAGCTGATGACAACCTCCTCTTCCAACAGGTCTGCCTCATACATCTCCTCCGAGATGTGCGGGATCTTGGAGAGGAGGCGAGCCTGATGCACGGCCACCACACACGCCAAACCATGAAGAAGGCACCGCTGAGGAAATGACACCTGTATTTCTTAATTTGTTCTCTAATCTTCTCATTAAAAAGAACTTCAGCCAGAACAGGAGGGCCCATGGCTTTTACATCTAGTCTTTCTGCTTCAGCAACAATTTCTTTGTCAAATGAGTCAATAATGCCCTCTTCTTTCTTTTTCTTAACAAAATCAAACAGGATATTCACACGCTCTTCTACAATTCTTTCCAGATCGTCACTGAGCGTCACGACTTTGGCGTGGTCACTGATTTCATCCTGCGCCGCCATTGCGCCTTCTCAGTTGTGTCCTCACCCGGGTCATCGTCCTCCTCCTCCTCCACAGCCCGAGGGGCGGGCTCATTTCACTTAGGGGTAGCGGGGGTGGGGTCTCACTGCTGGACACTGAGCCATTTGCCTTGTCTTCGCCTTTTCTGTTTTTCGTTTCCTTTTCTTCCTTCCTGTACTACTGTCACTATTCTCAGGTGGATTTTCGAGAATGAATGTGCAGAGTTCATGATGTGTGTCAAGCATGCCTCTTTAGCCTCAGGCTTTACAAGAATTACCTATTGTTTGTTTCTTCGGATTCACATGCACATCTGTTTCAGGATTCTCACACTCAGGGACAGAGAACAAAATTTTTAATGAATCCATCCAACATGTCTTGCACCTTATTCACCTCATGAGATCATCCAATGACAATGTACCGGTCAGTCTTTACATCAAACTGGGTCTGTGCTCCCAGCTCACAACCAAAGTATTTGGTGGGATAGTTGGAGGCCGATTAAGCGCCTTTGCAACGTCAACCGTGTTGACTACAACTGTCTTGATTCCATTTCCTTTGCCTTCAACCTTGGCAATCAGACGGTGCATCTTGTAGCGATAGAACTGGTCTGAAACGCTGCAGTTGATGTTGACAGACATTTTGGCTTATTAGTGACTTTATCAATAAGATGAAGAGATCTTTGATTGCAACTTTTTGGTATATTCTGTCTGGAGAAGAAGGGATGACATAAACGACTGCAAGAGTTCTCGGTCTCTGACATGAAAAAATTTATGCCACTGAGGCTGTAAGCTTCTTGCTCGTATGCTATGTTTCCCCAGTGCAGGTACCAATGGCTGCACAACAGCTCGTTTTCATCAAATAAAGACATAAACCAACGCGGCTTGCCCTGGACTGGGAGGAAGAGGCGCTGGAAACCGGGTCCGGAGCAGCGGGGCAGTGGTGAGCGAGCAGCGGGAAGGGCTGTCCCAGCGACGTCCGCGTCCACACGGGCAGCACCGAGCCTGGCGACCTCTGGAATGTTCTCGCTCTGACTGAAAGGAGAGCTTCTTGATTCCAGGGTCAGGCCTTTAAAACTTTAAGGGAGATGAAAAGAATGTTTTGGGAGAGTCTGCTGGTCCTTCAGTAGAAGTGATGCTGCTCATGACCAATGTCAAAGGACATTATTTGCCATTTCCTGCATTCCAATTATAACCCATACTTTAACTTTTCTGGACTCCAGTATTGTCAAAGTCCTACTTGTGGATTCTCTACACTGAGCCATGTCTCATAAGGTAGCTGTACATGAAATGCCTAACATCAAGTTCTGCCCTGTCTCTTCCTGGTGTGTGGTTTATGCTTGGGGCTCTGTCTTTATCAATACTTGCTATTAATAACTCTTCCAATATATTCTCTTGCCTGGCAAGATTCCAAGACCAGGGAAGTACCAATGAAAGAGCAAGGCCTTGAGTGCCATCTTAGGCAAGAATTCTCTGCCATTCATTCAACAAATATAAGCACTTACTTCATACTAGGCATTACAGTAGGTCCTGCACATACAGCAATGAGCAATTTAGACCAAGATCCTATGTCATGAAAGGACAATCTCCTGAAAAACGTTCTAAGAGATTTATGGGTACAGAGGTTCCATAGGACCTTCTTAAACAGGAGAAGCTCTGTTCTGAGATAACGTTGCACAGAGGAGGACATTCAGTCCCAAACGCATGAAGTGCCTCTTGGAAAGGTGAGTAAGAGTGATGACCCTATCTTTTAGAACTTCTGTCTTCATGCTTTCAGTCCAACTGCAAGATTTCTGCTCTGTGATGACTAAAGAAGGTTGATTAAGATTCTCTTCCTCCATACAAACTCATCCATTATTGAGTTTTGTTTTCCTCCAACATGTTAATGAGAAATCTGATCAATAAATTAATATTAAAGAGGGACAGTTCATAAAGATAAAAGGATACATTTGTTAGGAGGACATAACAAACCTCCATTTGTATGTATCTAGTAACAACTTGAAAACATGAAGCAAAACTGGTAGAAACAAAAGGTCAATAAAGAAATCTAAAATTATTAGGGATTTCTATACTCTTTTGTCAATAATTGGTAGAGAGATTAGACAAAAAATTAGCAAGAACACAAGAGATTTAAGTAACAACATTCACCAGCCTGCCTTGGCATTTACAGGATGTTCTCCCAGGCAGTAGGAGAAAACGCACACCTTCCATGAGCACTCAAAGGTATTCAGCCATGTAGCCCTTTGCTTGTCAATGAAACAAGTCATGATAAATGGACAAAGACTGAAATCATATAAAGTCTTTGAAAACCATAGCAGAATTAAACCAGAAATCAATAATATTCCTGCTAAGCTGCGCCGGCGGGACCACTCCCAGCCCAGGCGCACTGTGGGCTGGACCCTCACCCACCCCCTCGGGCCGCCCC